GAGAGAGAGAGAGAGGGCGGCAACGATAGAATGAAGAAAGACAGAACAGCACCGTTAATAATTCCTTCTAGTCCCCTATATAATTCCCTGTATAACCCCCTTTAACGAATTTAGGCTACAGCTCAAATGTGCAGCATTCCAGCCCACAGAGCAGGACGTTTAGGCGCAGGGAGTCCCCCTCATGGTGTCACTAGAAGAAAAACAACAAGAAGACAACGAGGGGAAGAGACTGATGGCTTTTTGCACCTGATTCGGTACAAAAGGAGGCCGTTTTCAGGGATTTCCGGGGTAGCTTGCTTTGAGTTCCGTGGTGACATGCATCAGCCGCCGCGTCAGTGTCTTGGGATTGGGATTTTCAGGGCTGAGGCCCATGTACGACGCCTTACGGCCGTGCTGGGCCTACAATTCAAAAAGACCTAGCAGGATCTGTAACGCTCTCTTGAGAGGCCATGCTCAAGCACACGGCAAGGTACATGCAAGACGTTGTAGACCATGCCAGTTCTCAGCGTCATCAACAACAGCTCTGGGCAATTTCTCTTGCGTCTGAAAGATGCATGGGGCATTTTCTGGCCTCCCTAATTGAACAAATGAGGATGTGTACACTAACAGGAGCGCAGTCGCGCAAGATACTTGCACTTGGGTTGGCTTCTTTTTGCTGGGAAAGTTGCGTTCGAAAGTGCATCCCGGATGCACGAGGTGCTAGTAGAGCCAAGTCGCCATGCATGCGGGTGAATCAAGGGATGGTATCCCTAAACCCTACATGATCCCTATAGAGTGTGAGGCTGCCATGTTGCCAGCGCTGCGTGTGGCTGTTCGGGTAGTTGAGATGACTTGGTCCAGAAGTACAGTACAGTACCAAGCTCAGAGATTCAGCCAACACTGGAATTCTGAAGCGATTAGTATGTTGCAGGAAGACTCATGTAGGACTTGTCACAGAAATTGTTTCTAAGCTACTCTGGATCTGTTGATGGCCAATCTTTTCAGCCTTGTCAGTCAGATTCTGGCTCCAAGTGTGCCAATATTTCTACCGCCGCCTGTTCACACTGTCAGATTTGCCGTGTCATGAGCAGAAGACATGGAAGAGATCAGAGGGGGACACCTCTAAACCCTAAACCCTAAACCCTAAACCCTGTGCATCAGGGGCGAGGGATAAAGATGATTAAGCTAGAGAGTGATGGCTCCATGCCCGAATGAGAGAGAAGAAAGAAAGCCATTCACCTGGGTTCTTGACCTGCAATACTTGGGGGGTCAGTTCGACTTAGTAAGTAGGTTAATAATGGGGATAAATGGGGTTACTATATGGGTTATAGGTGTTATTAACCTACTTACTAAGTCTCCCTGACCCTCCAAGTACTGTATACTACACTTTCCTATACTATACTGTAATTGACTGTAATGTACTGTGCTATACTATACTAGATTATACTATGCTATACTATACTTTACTATACTATACTATACTATACAAAAACATACTGCATTATACAATTTTTGATCCAAGGCCCGGATCGACTTTCCCGGGATCCTTCGGCTCGCATGCGTGACGACTCCAGATATGCGCCTGGAATCATGTAGGGGTTTCCCAAAATTAGGGGGTACCCTTTTGTAGGGGTATATAGGGGTTATATAGGGGCATATAGGGTTTCAGGTTTAGTTTAGGGGTTTCCCAAAATTAGGGGTACCAATTAGGGGGTCCCCTTTATAATGATTACAAAGTATTTTGGGGTCTATATTGGGTCCCCTAATTTTGGGAACCTACCATTTCTTGCTGAACTGGGGAACCTACCATGTCAAGTGCACTACCCACCACCAGATCCCACGCGTCTTGCAGAAGTTGAGGCCGTTCTCAAACCAACGGTGCAGCGCAACTTGACCTTGACTTTCAAAGTCATTGGGTAGTTCCCAAAATCGGGTTATATAGGGGATGTAGAGGTTATATAGGGGTATAGGGTCACATAGGGGTTATATAGGGGTTCTATAGGGCTATAGAAGGTTATATAGGGGTCCATTTGACGTAGGATCACTGCGCAGGGATGACCAGAAAGGGACCCATGATTTCGAGACCCCCATGATCCAGCATGTATTGCAAGTGGGGATGCATGTGAGCTCTAGTCTAAACTCCTTAGCCGGGGGTTATATAGAGGATTGATGATTCCACATGGGACCATTATAGGGGTTATCAAGGCGGACATTTGGAGGTTAGACAGTCATGTGAGCTACGGACTAAATTTAGGTTGGGGGTGACCTACAGGGGACATATAGGGGGGGACCTACTTAAGGGATATGCTACAAATTTAGTCCAGGGCTCATGCGAGGTCTGGTGATGAGCGCGTTTCCAGTAGCTCCACGGCTGCTACTGGTGGATGCTCGCGAGCCCCAAGACTTGGTGGAAGCATGGCCAGTATGGGAAATGGGGTTGTCCAAAATCAGGGTTACCCTCCCGGTAACTAACATGGAAACCCAGAAAGGGCTCTATAAAGACTACAATCCTTTTAATGGGGGGCTATATGGGTTTCCATGTTAGTTTGGGGGAGTGTACCTTTTTGAGGATCTCCAGAATAAGGATTGTAGTATTTTGGGGTCTCCTTACTCATGGAAACTACCAAATCTCGATGCAGTGTGGCAGACAGGGATGGTACAAGCTGGCATTGCAGAAAGCAGGAGTTTGATGAGTTCCCTAGCACTGACATCACTGCAGATTCAGAGACTGCAGAACAAAGATCCCAAACCGCAACAGTCACGCTGAAACGTGCCTGCAGCGTCTTAAGATGCAAGTTTCATGAAGAACGGCTCGACCGTTCAGGGCCTCCACTGTCTTTTCCATATTAAGCGGGATACTAGGAGTTTCGGCATGTCTATAGCTCATGTAAAGATTTGATCATCAGTAACAAGCGAAGACCTGTGCAGAAGCAGTGTTGATTGAGGAAAAGAGTTAGGGTTTAGGGTTTAGGGAAAACTACAGGACCTCTTTCTGTGACGGGCAGCACCTACTTACTGGTTCTTAGTGGGGAAGAAGGGGAAATATTATGTGAGCTATAGTCTAAACTCCTTCAAGGGGGTTATGCAGGAGAGTATTGTAGGGGTTACTAAGGGGGATACCAGGAGTTTAGACTATACTACCTGCAGGGATTGAATTCTCACATTCCCTACTAACAACCAGGAAGTCGAGGCTGTTTGTAAAACGTCAAGAGGGTACCCCTAATTTCGGGAAGCCCCCCACTTTCCCTAAACCCTGAGGCTAAGCCCTTCACCCTAGGCCCTAAACCCTAAACCCTAATCTCAAAGCAGAGGATGGCGCGAACCGAGCAGCCGACGCCAACGTGGCGAAGCAGGTGACGGAGAGCTCGAGGGTTCAGATGCACTCCCGATCTTATTCCTGTAAGTAGATAGAATTATAAGGGGTTATATTGAGATTATGGAAAAGAAAATGGAAACTACTATTTAGGGTTTACGGTATAGTCCCCTTAAGTAGAGACAATATGGGGTATATGGGGATGATGGAAAAGAAAATGAAAACTACTATATTATAATAGAGTCTATATTGGGGTTGTAGTCCCCCTCAAGTAGAGAGAATAGGGCTTTGGCTATATTATAATAAGATCCCTACATACGCCATATCCTATGAACTTAAGGGGGACTATATCCTAAAAGAGAGAAGGGTTCAGGGTTTAAGGTTTACATATGCCTGGTTCTCAAAAATATGGGTTTCCTTTATGGTTATGGATTTTATCCATGGGGGCCCTAATTTGGGGAATCATCCAGATCATGCACGAGCAGTACGCGCAAAGCGCTGCAGCTGCCTGCAATTTTTGCCCTTGTTTTTTTGGGAATTTAGCTCATCGTGCTAAACTTAAAGGGACCTCTATAACCGCTACAGAACCCTTTTAAGGGGACCTAGATAACCCTTATAGAGCCCCTTTAAAAGAACAGGTTCATCTTTCGACAAACATGCAAAAACTGACAAGCCCCTCTCCTGCTCAAGATTTGGTAGTTTCCCGAAATAGAGGTATATACATGTATATGTATATTTAGCTCCGCGAAACCTAATAATGTATAGTAGCTTCCATTTTGTGAGTTGGTAGTTGCCTTAAACTATGGGGAGCCCAATGTAGACCCCAATACAGGGTTTAGAGTTTAAGGTTTGGTAGTTTCCCAAAATTTCGGGGGATATTACCCCCAATAAAGGAGATGGAGAATGAAATGGAAACTGGGATTACCTGGGGTTTAGAGCTTCAAGAAACTTATATGGCAAAGCAGCGGGACCTTCTCATGGACCCCCACAAAGGTATCCTTGATTTTGGGAAACCCCTATTGTCTTCCACTTGTGGCACAAACTTTGGCCGTTTTCTGAAGTTGCTAAGCGCTCAATCCGGCACCCCAAACCCTGAACCCTAGACCCTAAACTGCGGAACCAGGCAGACAGCAAGCAGCTGACTCCCGCAGCACGAGGCGCATGATTCACTTGGAGTTCTGCCATTTTGCCTCACTAGTTCTTAGTAGGGAATATGGTAATAACATGTAGGGATATAATGGAAACTGAGACATTATAGTAGGGTATATATTGGGGTTATAGTCGGGAATAAGGGAGTATATTCTGTCGGGAGTCTATAGCAATTATATTCCCTAATTCCGTACTAAGAACCACTCAGTTGGTCTGAGTCGCTTTCCAGTCTAACTTGAAACGTGTGAGAGAAGGCTGCGTAGATTCTAGACACTTCCCTTTGGTTAGCTAGGGGAATGAAGGAATAGATCCTTACAGTAGTCCCTATATGGGAATTTCCCAAAATTAGGGGTACCGTTTTAGGGGTCCCAATAATAAGGACTATAGTATTTTGTGGTCTATATTGGGGTCCCCTTATTTTGGGAAACCCAGCTAACCAAAGGCAAGGACAGTGCTGAACTCAGTGTCGGTCTATGCCAAAGGTTGCTGGAGAGGCATTTGGGCTCACTTGGGCCCTTTGCAGATGAGCCATTGAACCGGGAACGGAGGTGCCGGCAGAATGCGTGTGAGACATCTCCAGACACACCTTGCTGACCAGGGCCTGGTAAACTCTGGGAAATTGAATCAGGGCTCTTGTAGTTTTTTAGGGTTTAGGGTTACATTTTTATGGATACCTGGGCCCAATAACAATAAACAAAGATCTTTTTAAATGGTATTTCAACAAGAACCCAGGAATGAGCTTAAGAATGTACATGTGGGTGTGGATGCAGTGTTCTGGCTGCGATCCATACAGGCTTTAAAGGATCCCTTTGCGGATGCCTTGGGTGGCATACCCCCAGGCATCGTTGGCTAAACCCTATACCCTAAACCCTAAAGCCCCAAACCCCTAAAACCCCTAGACCCTAAACCGCTAAAACGCCTAAACCCTAAACCCCTAAACCCTTAGCCTTAAACCCCTAAACCCTAAATCCTAAACCCCCAAACCCTAAACCCTATACCCACAGGCATCTTTGGCTTCGTGGACAAGGAGCTTGAGAGCTTCAAAGACTGGGGAATCACTCCGCTCTTTGTGTTTCAGGGTGTAGCTCCGGGACCCCAGCACTCCATGTTCCTGGGTTGCTGTGGAGGGGTTTAGGGTTTAGGGTTTAGGGCTGTTAAGGAACTTGAATTAAGCGACTAGAATAACCCTGTTATTCACTGACTATTTATCCCTATTATGGTAATTGAATTTTTATTAAATTCCTCAACAGTAACCAAGGTTTGTCAGCCGCATGGATCAGCAAATGGACATGGCTTGGAATTACCTGGCCTCCGGAGACAAGTCAGCGGCGCAGAAATGCTTCGCCGTTTCGACCAGTCGAATCAATGGTGACTTTGTCTATTTCATTTTCCATCATCTTCGGCAGAAAGGCTCAAAGACTTTAAGTTTGCACCCTGAATGTTTGTAACCCTAGGTTTTGGGTCCCGAATTCCCTTAGCAAGGGCCATATTCCATGGTTTAGGGACCCAAACCCAAGGGTAACAAATCGTAAGGGTGCAAAGGAAAAGTCCCTGATTCTATAGGGGTCATAATATGGGGATTCTATAGAGGTTTAGGGTTTAGGGTTTAGGGTCAATTTAGGGATATATTACCCCCTGAGAGGCTATGAGTGCCTTCAAGCGCCATACTTTGCGGGCGCTCAGCTCGCGCACTTTGCGGAGCAAGGCATTGTTCAGACCGTGTTTGGACCTCCCGGCCTGCTCCTTTACGGTGTGACTGGGTTGCTGTTAAGGAACTTAAATTAAGTTACCATAATGGGTATATATAATAATTAGTATGGTTCCCCCAATATAATAACTTGAATTAAGTTCCTTAACAGCAACCCAGGTGAAGTCGGTGGTGATCCACCTCAACTTTGGCCAGCAATCCTTTGATTGGGTGGACTTAGATGGTGTGCTGTCAAAGTGGCAGCTTTCATGGGACGAGTTTGTGGATGCATGCATGCTTGCCGGCACAGAGTACTGCCTGACCTACCCTTATCTCAATCTGAGCCCCTTTGGTGGCCCGTCAGTTGTCCAGCAGGGCCAGCGATTCAACTTTGACGCTGCCGTGTACATCATCAGGCAGGCTCCGCTGATCAACTGGATGCAAACCTTTCCCACAGAGGAGATGAAGAGCGACCATGTGGATGGATATTGCATTTGCAAAGTCCTCGTTCAAAACTCCCCAGTCTTGCATCTCCAGGATCATGCCATTCGACCTTTGGGGGCTTCAAAGCCAGGTGGGCCACCACCATCAGTGCCTATCGACTTCTCGTCCATCATGGGGCAGAAGCTGCCACCCAGCCTCTACTATCTCATGTTGCACGGGATCATATCCCACAAGCTTCCGCAAGCCCTTGCCAAGGGAGAGTGGACGGACAAGTCGCAGCCGCTCATTGACACCAACGAATTCCGAGCGCTGCTCACTGACTTACAGGATTACCGCAGGACGTCTCTAGGGCTGATTGCTCAGCACCTGCACAAGAGCTTCCAAAGCAAAGCCATCCTGTGCAAGGCCTACTGGGAGCCCAGCAACATCCGGCAAGCACTCGGAACTGATGCGCACCTCCCTCCGGATGCTCGGATCATCCAGCCCGACATCCAGCAAGGGCTTCGATGGAAGATCACGGTCAAATCCGTGAAGGCTGAGATGGCGCGTCAGCAAGTGGACAAGGTGGATTTCAAATTTTGCCTGAACTGGCATGCCCGTGAGTTTGAGCAAGATGGCCCTCTAATGCAAGGCATCAAGGAGCCCCAGCCGCCCTCTTTTGATGACTACCTCCACTCCTTGACTGCACTTGTGCACCTGGGTTGCTGCCAAGGAACTTCAATTAAGTTACCATAATGGATATATGTATATATACATATATACATGGTTAATGATAGGATTTCCCAATATAGTAACTTAGTCTAAGCTCCTTAACAGCAACCCAGGCACTTCATTGTCCTGGAGAAGCTGGACCTCATCTCGGCCGAGGATGGTGGCGCCACTGTCTTGAGTGACGTGCTGAAGGACACGCCAAGGAACCTGACAGAACCATGTCTTACAGCGCTGGAGCTCATGAAGTATCTGGGTTGCGGTTAAGGAACTTGAATTTTTACGTTGCTATACTGGGGAAACGATTTTAATTAGTATATGTACCCATTCTGGCAACTTGATTTAAGTTCCTTAACCTCAACCCAGGTATGGCCAGCTTAATGGGGAGCCATTTGAAGCAGCACACACCGATAAGCCCTTTCCGAATGAGGTGAAGTATCCAGTCTCTAGTCAGTTTCAGAGTCCAGCTGAGAAGGACAGGGTTTGTGGAATGCTGCTGCTATGTCGCGTCATGTCCCTGGTGCCCATGAAGCTCAAAAACATCATGTGGGACTCCGACGTAGATTTTGACTTGGCGGCTTTCCATGCATTAGTTCGAGTCCTGAAACGGACTCTTCGCCAGTTGGTTGAAGGAGCTTTGGCATCTGTTCTCCTGAAAGACTTGTCGAGGGTCAAGCTGTTGCCGAAAGGCTTCATGTGCGCGTCCCCAGTTCACAAGGAAGCATACCCACAAGTTCCAGCTGAGCTACCAACCTTCATGCTTCCCCGAGCATGTATGGGCATCGTAGTGCGGTACTTCTTGGAGTACCAGAAGGATGCGGATAGATTCGCTGATGATGTGGGGAAGCGCTTCCCTTGCTGTGCGCAGCCCGTGGAAGATCTGAAACTTGCGTTCACCTTCTGGCACGACCTGCGACGCTGCGTGGACACCATCGCAGAGACGCTTGGTGCTGAGGAGTTAAGCGAGGACATGCGGAAAGCAAGTGGCATCCTCGAGGAGCAGAAGAGAAGGCTTGGATTTGCGTGAGGCGAACTGAGCCACAAATGCAAATGTTTCATGTGAGGACTTACGATATTACTTTAGTGGCGTTATTCCCGTAGCGGTTATTTCAATGTGATGATGCGACCAGATGTTGATCTCTTGCGTAATTTCGTGTAGCATCTGGCGGACTCTGCCCAGAGCGGCGTACTGGGGAAGACCCAGGACGTCCAGCTCCTTGCGCTCATGTCAACCTCGTATAGACCCTGCAAGACAAAGAAAAAGGAACCGGTGTCCATCCGCATCTTGCTTCAATTCGGACAGCGCCTGTATGTGATAATGGCGGACTTTATGTTTGACGGGTGCGTATTTACAGGTAGGCGTGACCATGTATGCAAGATCCTGCACTTCTGCTTTTGGACTAATCAGTGAACACTTCCCGTACTGCAGGTGGTTACCTCGCAACGGAGCCGAGTTGGCCGGGGAAGAGCGTGAATCTCAGCAGTTGACATGCGTAATTGTGAGCACCAGTTCGAAGCTTTTCAAGTTTACGTTTGGCCGCGGAATTCCCCAGTTCTTGCTAGCTCCAAATGCGGGAAGCAACATGAAGGGAATATTCAGATGGTGTCTCGATGTCAAGCTGTAGGGAACCCTAATTCCTAAGCCTTAAAGCCTAAACCCTGGCACCCTGACCTTTATGAAGGAGCCCCAACTCCACAATAGGAAGCCCCGACTGGTTCAAGGTAGGGTTTAGGGTTTAGGGTTTAGGATTATGGCTTTACAGGGGTAGGTTTGAACATTAATATGTTGCAATGTGCACTACCCTGAATCTCTATAAAATCCTTATGAAGCCATAGAAGTTTAAATGTTATAGGGCCCCCGAACCTACCCTAGACTCTTAAACCCTAAACCCTAAAACCCTAAACCCTAAACTCTAAACCCCAAACTCTAAACCCTAAACCCTAGACTCCAAACCCTAAACCCTACCCTAGTTTAAAGCAGGTCCGACCATGCTACTCTTAGAGGCTTCCTAAACTTGCCGCCGGCATCCCCCACTATGCAACATGAATTCGGGATTAGGGTTTGGGGATTCGGGTTTAGGCTTTGGGGGTTTAGGGTTGTTACATAGGGTTTGGGGATCCCAATAATAAGGATGAAGTATATGGGGTGATATGGAGTCATATAGGGATACATAGGATGATTTAGAGTTTAGGGGTGTATTACTTACCCTAAGTATGGAGAATCAAATAGGAAAGCAGATGGAACATGACATGGATCAGTCAGGTGTTAAGCGGGACGCCAATTTAGGCCCCAACTCATGTTCCTCATAATGGCAATAACCCAAAATGGTAGCCCTGGTTTCAGGAAACTCCCACATAGGCCTTAGACCCCCAAACGCTAAGCACTGGAAGAGCTAAAGGCCCCATGCACAGCATGCAGGCATCAAAAGTCCGTGGGGCTCAAAAAAACCTAAGCCTACACCCTAAACCCTGAACTTAAACCCTAAACCCCAAACCCTAGACCCCTAAACCCTAAACTCTAAACCCCTAAACCCTAAACCCTAACAGGGAAGCCCCTTGTTGCAATGCGTGGTTTGTCAAAGGTGCAAAGGCCGACTGGCCGCTCGACTGGCCGAAGGCCTGAACCTAAGCTTAGGGTTTAGGGTTTGGGGTTTAGGGTCTAGGGTTTAGGGCTCATCTGGGCCATACTCTAAGTTACTTGAAAAGGGGTTTATACTTTATATAGTATATTGGGGATATATTGGGACAATGGAAAAGAAAATGGAAACTAAAGGGGTTACAGGGATCATTTTTGGGGTTATATAGGGGATTATATAGCCCCCCCAAAATCTTTTTGTGGAATGGAGTCAGCCTGAATCCCTAAGCCCTAATCTCTAAACTCTAAGCTGTTGTGAAGCTACCGTTTGCTGAGGAGGCGACGACCGCCGTGGCGATGCCTTCTGGGACACCTGGCGTTCAGGGCTACAACAACTCCGCAAATTTGCTAGCTGTATCAAGCATATTCGGGCATGGTCTGATGGCAACCGCTTCAACATGCATAAGCTCTACAATAAAGCTGAGGTACAGGATGCTTATAGTAGTCTTTATGGACTCCACTACAGTAGTTTCCATTGTCTTTTCCAGTCCTTCTGAACCCTTAACCCTATAAAACCCATTATAGTAGTTCCCATTTTCTTTTCCATTGCTTCATTCCCACCCTAAATCCTACATCCTGTAGTAGTTTCTATTTTCTTTTCCAATCCTTCATTCCCAGCTAACCAAAGGTAGCCTCTGTATACCCCCAGCTTCCATTTTTTTCATTTGATTCTCCATTGTTGGGGTAATATCCCCAATCCCTAAATCCTAAACCCTAGCCATTATAGTAGTTTTCATTTTCTTTTCCATTTCTTCATTCACAGCTTTCCCCCTTAAGTAGATGAAATATAGCTTTGGGTATGGCTTAATAAGATCCTCATATACCCCGTTATCTATCTACTTAAGGGAGACTATAACCAAAGATAAGTTGCAACCCTAAACCCTAAAACCTAAACCCTAAAAGCCCTAAACCCTAAACCATAAACCGGCTAAGGATGACGTTCCCAATGCGACCGGTGCCACCGTGGCGAGGAGGAAGCAAAGCGCACACCATCAGAACTTCGGCTGGGATCTAGGGACTCCATAGGGGTCATAACCCAGAGGGTCCAAGTACCCAATAATTAGGTACTTGGGTTTGGGGTAATAGTAATTATAGTACAGGTTTTGGGTAAGTATATGATTATTGGGTACTTGGACCCTTAGGGTCATATAGGGATTCTATAGGAGTCATACTATGGGGATTCTATAGGGGTTTAGAGTTTAGGGATTGGGGTTTAGGGTTTAGGGTTTAGGGTTTAGGGATTGGGGTTTAGGGTTTAGGGTTTAGTGGTATATCACCCCTAGACATAGGGGTTATATAGTGGTCATAGAGGGATTATATAGGGGTTAGGGATACAGGGGTTATATAGGGGTCATACTATAGGGATTAATATAGGGTTTAGGGACACATCACCCACTGAAGCATCGATCAAGTCTGTCAGACGCTCGTGTACAAGTAACTCCAGACTGAAGCAGCAAACGGAAAAGCAGAGGGACAATTAAATGGAAACTGGGATCATGGATTTATGAACCCTAAACCGCAAACCCTAATCCCTAGAACCCTGTGGCCCTGGACCCTCAGGTACGGCGAGCTCTTCTGTTTCAGCCGTGAGAGCGAAGCTGGGGCGGAAGACGTTGAGAGAAGCCAGCATGTGAGAAAACGAAGAGAACAACTTATTGGTTAGGTCAATCCCCGACAGTAATAGTTCCTTAGTATGGATTTAGTAGGACCTTAATATATCTACAATAGTCCCTGGTGGTACCCATTACTAGGTGGGGGGATTGACCAACTTGTTGGGGGTTTATGGTTTAGGGTTTATTGGGGTTATGTAGGTATAACGGACAAGAAAATGGAAACCACTATATAGTATATTGGGGCTATATTGGGGTTATAGTGGGATACATTTGTTGCTTTGCATTGCCATCAGCTTTGCTTTTGGCCTGCATTTGGGACGGGTGGCTAGGGTTTTGCTAGGGGGTGCAAGCTGCTGCTCCAAGACTATGTGAAAGCACCGTAGGAGTTGTTGTTGCTCGGCCCATGCACCCTTCGAGGCTGTTTTGGGGTGACAAACACATACTTGGACTTTGATACGGACCAGCCCGCCAGCAGGGCCTCATGAAGCACAGATCGGCCGCAAATAAGAACAGATGAGTTTGTTGAGGTTCTAAAGCCCTTTGCATCACACAGGTGACCCCCCCCCCCCGCTGGAATGCTACACAGCCTCAAACGATGGATGCTTGGCGCGGCTGATTCACACAGCATGTTGTAAAGTGATTGCCAGGAAACAGACTAGCAAATGCCGTGTCAGCTGGACATGGCAAATGCGCAATTTACCTGCCTGACAACATCCCTTCAGTTGATCCGTTTCGCAAATTGGGTGTGTGGCGCTGTGGAGGTATCTCTTTTTGCTAGACGCGTAATCCATCCTTCTTGATTTGGCCTGACAAACCCAAACTACTTGCAAGATGTGGCGTGCGTGTTAGACCACTTGACGTACTGCTTTTACACAACACACAAATTGTCGTGCTGAACGAGGTCTATATAACCCTTATATAACCCATTACAGTAGTATATCTCCTCAATATATGTACAATATACCCCCGATATACGACTCTTGAGTTGAAAGCTTCAGCTTGATATGTGATGCGCTGCGTCTAGTCTCGTGGCGTCGGAAATGAAGCCTTGCTCTGGAACTGCTGCTGTGGAAGCCCTACGTTTACATGTAACATCCGTGTACCGAATCGCATTATCCCAATATAACCCCTATATAACCCCAATATAAACCCTATTATAGTATAGTAGTTTCCATTTTCTTTTCCATTACCTCAATATAAGCCCAATATAACCCGAATATAACCATACAAATAACATTCTTTTGGGCAGCAAGTCAGAGAGATTTTTTTGGGTAAGGCGCCAAAATCTAGAAGATAGCCTGTTTAGGGTTTAGATGCAGGTACAAGCGAACAATGATTTGTTGAGTCTCTTTGCAGGTGCTGGAACGAGACGTGCTCGCGTTTGCAGCTTGCACACGGCTGACATTGTCAAGCTGGGTGCCCAGAAGCCCCTATCAAGTAGGGAACAAAGACGCTTCAAGGCAAGGGTGTTGCATTTGCATAGAAATTACAAGATAATGATAGACAATGTATATAAAGATGTTACTGATATTATGCGTGATATTATTTAATGAGAACATTCACTTGGATGTGTGTATACTGCCGCAGTTGATGGGACTGTCGTCGAGTCGCACAGCTGTTGCTAATAGTAGTACATTGAATATTTGTGTCATTTTTACTCGCATCATTTCATCATACTTCATTTCTGCTGTCATTATCATCACTATCATTGCTTCTATATTTTTATTACTTCTATTATTCTTATTATCAGTGTTGTTACTGTTTGTATGGGGTTTGCTA